CCCCGAACACCAGTATCAGTACGTCCCTACGCCAACCGTCCTAGAAATGAACAGTTTTGGCTGAGTGGCAGACACCGGCGGCTGCTCACTGTTTAAAACGCGCGCGCCGGCAGGAGGGGGGAAGCTTCCCCGCCAGCTGCGCTCTACCAATCGCTTTCTGGTTGATGCATTAGAGTATATCGGTTATAAAATGTCGAAATCGTAAAGCTAGACCCTAAATCTAGTGGTTGTTCAACCTAGACTCGGGACCCGCGCGGGCCCAAATCTTTATCGCCGTTGCGCGGTGGGTTCCCGGTGTCGCAGTGCGTTCGGACAGTGACCAACATTCTCAGCATCAAATTTCCTATCAGAAAAGTCACCGATGAGGATTTCGATTTGTGGATGAAACAGGCTAGTGTCTAGAGATTCCAGGTCACCTATGAAGTCCGCCAGTGGCCACCCTGGTTCGCCAGTGTTATCCGCCAGAGCCCCTGGTTCGCCGGGTTGTGAGTCCTCAAAATCCGAGGTGCCCTCACCAGGTCCTGAAAGAATGGGGGAGAGAGAAAGCACACAATCGTTTTGAGGGCGAGCGCGTGTAATTGTCTGATCTGGAGGGGACGAAGACGGAGGAAAAAGAACATTTCGATCGAGACCCGGAAACTCCGGATCCGCGAAGGATTTCCGAACAGCCAGAAGTGGTACTGGTGTCGAAGGGGAAAGAACACGCGCATAAGCGGAGGTGTTCGGAGACTGTGATTTTACTGGTATGGATTCTGAAGAACTGGAAGACGACGGGTGAGGTCGCTTCGGTGGTCTAGATGGAGGAATTGAACTGAATGAATCCGAGTCAGAGCCTGAGGGGTTATTTTGGAAGTGCAGAGAGGACAGAGAGGTGGAGAGCGAGGTCGTAGACGCGGAGGACGCGCTACGTGACCGTCACTCCTGAGGAACCCACTCGATTCCAAGGAACTGTTCCAGTTCATTTCGCTGGAAAACGCCCGCGGCGAAACCAGCACTGCCGGCAGTCATCATTCGCTGTTGGAGCACAGCGTTCGTCTTGGTGAAGGCGAGGTGCTTATCATCGAACCGCCTTCGCTGTTCGTCAGTCTCCTGCCCCGTGTGCCGGCCTTCCGGCTGGAGTGAGTTCATTATAGTATTGAAGTCGCCGGCACAGAGTCCCTCGCTGAGGCACACGTAAAGCCCTGGTGGGATTCGGTGGTTACGCTCTTCCCCGATCATCTCTGGTAGATCGAGGCGAGGAACGTGGGACAACATCTCAAATGCAGCATCACGCTGCGATTTTACACCATAGTTGGTGCGAGCAATGAAGGTAAGCACCTTCTGGAGCTCAAGAGCTCTCACATAGTGATGCTGGAGCTTAAGCTCAGCCTGGAAAGAGAGAGGGGCATACGCACCGGGAGCGGCCATGATGATGCGCAACACACAACAACACAATTTTAACAAACCGCTCGTTTTCTGCAGCCACGAGCATCAATTTAGTTTAGGACGAGAGGGGTCCATACACAATTCGTCTTCTGGTAATGTGTAATACAATTTATGAAATTCTTCTTTGTTTTCAACGATGTTTACAAGATTTATAAAAACATCACTCAAGTCACTAGTACGGATTCTGTAGCGTTCGGCCATTGCTTTGCTCAATGCGTCATAATTGTGGTAACATTTCAAAGGCTTGATCAAATCGCTCACTTCGACCTAATTTCGTAATGAGTTTGAAAGGATCAGGAATAAATTCAAGGGAGAAACCGTTATGAATCAAAAACTTTGAACAAAAATATGGGTACTCATAGTGAGACAAACGTTTTGCTTCAAGGTTGAACAGATGAGCAAGCGCAGTTGAAGGGTCGGGAACTTTGGGTCTACCACCTATGATTAGACTATCATCACCCGAAAACAGACAGAGTTCTGTTGAACGCACGAAGTAGAAATAGGCTACGACCGCCATGAGGAACAGAGTATTACCGAGGTATGTTGATGCCTCACCGGGATTTCCGCTGGGAAAAGACCGAAGCAGAAAAACCGTTCTTGCGGTCTTTAAGAATTGTATGTGTATGAGCCCAACGCCACAAAAAGAGATAATCAGAATGGACACCAAACAATTCCATAAGGCGCAATTCAAGCTCTAGTGACAAGTCCCCTTGACTCTTGTCATATTTGGAAATGTCAATTTCTAATTTAGGAAACTTTTGAAAGTTCTCACTATTAGGTAGAGCCGATATGGCGTCCGCTAACTCCTCCGGAGACATGTCACACCTTAATTTGATGTTGGGTGGTAAAACCGCCAAAATCCTCTTCTTTATTTCCTGCCATATTGGACAGAAAAGGGCGTTAATGTCTTTCCTTTGATATGCAATCGTCTGCACTGCAGAATATGCATGAGTAGCATTCTTACTCAAGTCAGGTTTCACTGTTTGTTTAACCATGTACTCGTACTGATTCAGCGCCCCTGCGACGGGTCTGAACACGTTCGCCAGGATCCGCCAGGATGAGGCTGGCCATGGCCACGGGCCCCGCGTCCTCGCCCGCTTCTCCCACGCCCTCGGCTGCCTCGCCCGCGCCATTGAGGCAGTGCATCAATCTGTGATCAGGAACATACAGCATTAGTCTTTCACCTACATTTAGGTTACAACTCCCTACAACACCATTGAAACTCACCAATTGTGCCTGAGCAGGCGCCTGTGGACGGGCGATCGCACCCACCACCTGCTCCGGCTGGCCTGGGTCAGGTTAAAAGGCGTACATAGCCGGTACCGGCGCTGGCGCTGCACTAGCTGCGACTGTCCGGGCCGCGGGGGTCGGTGGTCGCACGGGGGCTGTGCGCACCCTGACGCATGCCTGGAACATGAACAACTTGAGTTAGGAGCCGAACACACACGAGCTCGCCTGTGCACACACACACACAACTCAACGGCTGGCTCGGCCGCAGGGGGAACTTCTTGTTGGACAGGTGCCACGGGTACCTCCACCGACTCCGGGCTCGGTGGCGGTGGGCTGGACGGCGGCGTCGGGAGGGTCCTTGGTGTTGAGGTGCCCTCCGGCCCCTCACACAGCAAATCATACTCCTGAAAAAGACGGTCACAAATGGATATTAGTTTCTGTTCAACGCGCACATGACCATGCAAGCACACACACGCTCACATCGCGGACGTCAGGCACGGCGCCAGGCGCAGCAACTCCGAGCCCCAGACGAGCGTTCGTGTTGTCCAAGGCGTCGACGCGGTGCTCAGCCCGGGCGAGCACGCGACCCTCTGCACGGGCACAACCTGCACCAGGCCTAGGACGAGACGACGCGACGAACGTCGCTGGCCTCGAGGAGCACCATCAGGCCATCAGGTGCACCAGCTCCGAGCCCCGGCAACCCTCCCTCTTTCCCGCGGCCTCACCGCTGACTGCCCTCGCCGACGTCGGGCGCAAGCTGCTCCAGGATCACGACGAGAGGGTGGGTGCACGGCCCACCAGGACACCGATGTCCTTCGAGACGAATCAGGGCCTCGCTCAGGCCCGCGCCTGTTCAGCTTACCGCTGCTGCTGCTCTCTTCCCACGCTCGCGCCGGTGTGTTCCGAGAAGACGCGTCCCTCCTCCCCTTCCCCCGACCAACACCGACTGGAACAGACGTGTCGCGACGCAGGGAATGACTCAAAATTGTTTCAATCACTATTTTAAGCCAAAATTCATCCATTCATTTGCCGATTGCATCACCTTTTTCCTCCCATCCCTCTGCGAACGCTCGAGGGACGAGAGCGGGAAAGAACAAAGACATCAGGCGAGCCGTTCTGGCTGGGGCCAGGACGGACGCCCACCGTGACACCGAGTGAAATCAGCAAATGAACGGACGAAATTTTATGATTTGAGCATTCACCAAGCTATGACGCAATCACACACAAGAGCACAGGCAACAGGTTTTGGCGCGGATCCAGGCGAACGTGTTCAGACCCGTCGCAGGGGCGGGGCCAGGTTGAGACCCGTTGCACCCCGAACTTGTACGAACGTGTACCCCCATCCTCGATAGGTTAAGTTAGCCCCCATCACTTACGCCCCTCCGTCAATCCTCGATAGGTTATGTTAGGCCCCATCAATTACGCCCCTCAGCCAATCCTCGATAGGTTAGGTTAGGGGTTGATAAGATCTAGGTTGTGTTAGGGGATGATAAGATAGAGGTTGTGTTAGGGGTTGATAAGATCTAGGTTAGGTACGAGTTAGCCTCTGTTAAGATCTTGGTTAGGTTGTGTTAGGGTCTCGATAGATGTCCGAATGGGGGGGGGGGGTGTTTCCATATTTTGCTTTGAATAGTCTTATGCGATGGGATGCATTGAACAAAGGTACTGTTTATCTTAAGAAACATTCTAATTTGAAGAATATGAATGTGGAGTTATTTAAGGAAATGATTTGTGATAGTGCCAAAATTCCGAAAAATATCATGGTTTATTCCAGTAATATTCGTGGAAGTAGAGCATATTGGTCCACCCGATCTATGGAATTGCAGGCTATGGTTTCACAATTGAATGTTCCTAGTTTATTTTTTACCTTGACTGCTGCTGACAGACATTGGCCTTTTCTATTTGAAATTATTTTGGCAGATAAAGAAGCTGTGTCAACATTGACTGAAGGTGATCGTTCTAGGATTTTGATTGAAGATGCTGGATTATGTAGTGATTTTTTTTTTATTCTTCTGAAATTTTTATTTCAGAATTTCTTGTTCCTTTCTTGTCAGCTTATGATTATTGGTACAGATATGAATGGCAAACTCGAGGTGTAGGCCACGTTCACGGTTTATTATGGTTGGTAGATGCTCCTACTGTTGATGGTGTTAAAGTTATTAATGATGAATTGAATTTAAAAATTATTGAATATTTTGAGAAGCTAATAACAGCTGTGACACCTGATTACGCAAATCACCCTTAGTTTAGGCCCGCTACACTAGGATGCCCCC